CCTCCCCCTTCTCCTCTTCCTCACCCACCCCCTCCTCTCGTCACGTCTCCTTGTCTCCTTAAATCTACAATTCTTGGCCGAATGTGAGGCCAGCGTCTAGTATGAAATTTTTATACCGCACAGAGACGGACAGCACTTTCGTGAAATTTTAGCCTCCTATCTTGTATGGTTCTAGATATCGTTTTTTACCAGACTTCTTCACATTTTCTATAGACTTCTGTATGTGAAAGTCGAACAGAAACATTCTTATAAAATTTCAGCTTTTTCAGATAAAATTTCAGTTTTCTCTGGTTACTGAATAGAAAATGGGTGGGGAAATCCGAACACACACAACATAAAACAGAGGAAACCTCTCGTCAATATGTGCTCCTACATTCCAATGATGATGAAAATGCATAACAAAAACAGCACGATTTCGCAACAACAATAAAATTTGAGTGAAAGTAAGATTGCCGAGGCTATCTCACTAATTAATGCGGATATAGGTATTACACGGCACGCAAGCTTATCCAAGGCTTTTTTGCCCAGAGCTACATTTGTGTAGTAGAAAGGAAGTGAGACGGAAAATCAGCACAGCGGAAACGAAAGTAACGCACCATGCAGGCAAACGGTGCTAACTCGAAAAGTTACGAGGAGCGAAACTATATGATGACCACCGCAAGACTGGCGCACGTGTACTGCACAGTTAATGGGTGGTACCTGCACTAATATGCAATGCGCACCATCTTTCCAGAACCAGCCCCTACGTAGATACGTTACATGAAGCTCATCAGCTGCCAACAAGGCAAGCAAAATGCTTCACCTCTCACAGTCAGAAAGACATAATGCATTTCGCTCACCAAGCGATGCACCTCACTGTTTATAATGAAAGTGTGCATCACTTGCTTTGCTGCTCTTTTCGACGCAGCCGGTGATTAGATTTGCTATAGCAAGTAAACACGTGTTTCGTATCCGTACGTATTGCTTCTGTGACGGTGAAGTGAAAAAGGAGGAGAATGGCGTAGTCCTTCCACTCGGTATTAGCTGGGCACTCATAACACTATGAAATTAGCACCAGCGGACATCACCTTCGACGTTTCTCGGCCGGAGATTAACGTGACTGTCAATTCTATTCAAGTCACGCTTGTTTATCTAACAGTCGGCCTCCGCCATGCCTGCATGGTATATCAATTTTGTGTTCGTTGCGGTTTTATATATCAGAAACATTATTCCTACACTTAGTTTCTTTGGCACATTTCCTGCTACAGTTAGAAAAGTCATCCATATTTCTTGCAAAATAAGAATAGTCATCTAACCATAAATGATCTACCTGTCAGCTACGGATGTGTAAACCACCTTTACAGTTCAGCACAAAGAACTCGAAAAGTCGGAACGAATTATGCAGTATCCAACTGAGAAACTTTTCGTGACATATCGGCAAGAGGAAAGACCGACATCATGTTCATTCTCTTCCTGCAAACACACCATATGCAATTTAGAGGATGCAATTTTAGACAGACACGCTCAGCTCCACAGCCGTTTTCTGTTCATTCTGATGGACGCTTAATTTTTATAAATACTATACAGGAGTTTCATAAAAATTCTAATAAGTTTTGCTTTATATCCAGATCTACATTTCAAGTACAAAAGCTATTTCCATATTAATACACCGGATTTTGCGCTTTTCCCGCCTGCATATGACTAACTATGACTAACCATCGATTTTGCCAGTACACTGTAAATCGCGAAAACTGTTTTTACGGCCGATTTTTATGTGTTTTTGTACATTTATGCAAATGCAAAACGCATTCCACAAAAGATTGTCCGCGTGTGTGTCTGCTTGTGCGCATTCGCGTTTCTGTTACCCACTTCCAACCCAATAATGAAGAAGCTGGGAAAAAAGAAGTTTTGGGGCATGCCCTTACTCATGTGCAACCTTCCCTTTTTAAAATAATCGTTTACGCACGCCTCCGTCTCACGTACGAACGCTTAAAGGGGTTTGCGCAAGTTTTTTGGCAGATAAACCATTCCAGAAATCAGACAAGATAGGAAGCTGAAACTTTGTGTGAATTAAAGATTTCAAATTCGGCTTGAAAGTACGCATATGTTACGTGTATGGACACACCAAAACTGGAATTTCTTCGCGGCTGGCAGAATAACAACTCGGTAACAAGGCTGAGTAGGTTCCACGATTTTATGCGAATATTTGCTGTCATGCTTGTCAAATTATTTTTAATGGAGAAGCGATTTTTGGAGCCAGCTGAGCTAAGAAGCTAAAGTTTTCTGAGAAAATGACGACGTTTCAAAATCATATTTTACTAACAGTATGGAAGTACCTGACTACAGCACATAGCGCCAGACTGTTCACAAAAGTTTGTAGATGTTTCGATAATTCAAAGCAAATGCTTATTTTGCGTCTAACAAGAGGACTTACAAGCTCTGCAGACGGGCCCTGTTAAGCCTCGCATTTGCTTTGGCAGTACTAGAAGCAGTCATGTCATACAGCCTCTCCCAAAAGCCAATATCATCTTCTTCACTGTTTATTTCGTAGATAACCCCAAACATTTTCGCCTAAATAAGCACGAGGTGTTTGAAATACACAGAATTCACAATGCGGAATCGGCAGAGAGATGTATTTTTGCGGTGTGTTTTTTACAGTCTTGGATGCTCAGTAGCTGAATGCGATGCTATGTGAGTAAACACCCATTATGAACTATCCAGTGCGTGAAAAACCAATCTATTTTTTTTGTCTCGAGCTGCATAATTCCAGCTGATAATCGCCGTCCATAACTGATGTGCCTGCCACCCACCCCTTCCCTTCTTGCGAATGCCACTCACTCATAATGACGTCTACCGACCGTGCTCACTCCCTATTTAAAATAATTGGCCAACGCAGGGGCTGCCCGTGCGAGGATGCGTTTTTTGCATAGCTCCCCGCGGATTTTTGTTGCTAACGGCACTGGTTTTTCTGGAAGATGCTTCTAACTAAAAGGATTTCAGACTGACCGCCAGGACTGTCAGGAAACATCCCTTCAGAATTCCAGTCTTCTAGCTTCTCAGGATCCCGAGTTAACAACTTACCCGAAAAAAATTTCACGGCCCGCACATGGGTACCACGCTTATCCGGGGGCTGGATTTGAGCCCATTAATATCCACTTGGACGGGGAACATCCCTTTAAGATTTCAGCTTTCTAGCTTTTCAGATCCCCGAGTTAACTTGCCCGAAAAAAATTTCGTGGGCCCGTACGTGGGTGCCACGCTTACCCTGGGGCTGGGTTTGAGGTCACTAATACCTATTTGGACGGGGGATATTCCCTTAAGATTCCAGGCTTCTAGCTTCTTAGGCTCCCGAGTTAGCAACTTACCCGAAAAAATTTTCACAAGCCCGCATGTGGGTACCACGCGGGTAAGAGCGTCCATTTTGGGGATGGCGGCCCGTACACGCATACAGATTAAGACCCTCAAGTTTCAGCCCTGTAGCTTCTGCGGATCTCGAGATGAAAAATCCGTACAAACGAACACACAGACACACACACAACCCATCGTCAGTATGTGTTTTCTGCATTGTATAGTTGCAAAAAACGCATAAAAAGATGACCACCACCTTCTGCTAAGTTCGAGAAATCTACCTGTAGTACGGCCACAAGCAGCTGGTGCAGTATCAATTTGATTTCTGAAGCACTACTTTTAAACCCACTTTCTTACTTTGTGCGCTGAATTACTCCAGCTTTTTACTCATAACTTATTAAATGCGCAAAAGTATGGGCCATCACAACGAACAAACTATAGAATTAACTACTAAAGAGATGACTAACCTCCTTCAGCTCTTGTGCTATGGAAAATTCATCGTCATCGTTCACGATATTAGTAACCACTGCACGTCCTTCGCCGCACTCAAGCAGATGATTCAACATAGACTGGTCGTGACACGATGATCGCCCGCACTCGGCACATGCAATTATCTTCTGGCTCCTTCTGTAATTAATAAGTAAGAAAATCCGCAAATTTTGGTTGTTTCACAGCTGCACATAGTCGCTATCCAGAAGGCAGCTTCATTAGAACCGATCATCTGATTTTGGCGACGACCATAAATAAGAGCGCAGATCTTCGTGTCGTCATGCACCATGTTATTTATTAGCAAACATGAATTATAACTGGCGGTTTTGTAAAAACTGACCAGAACATGCAGAATCCTCTGCTATAACGCAGAGAGCCACAACACAGTTTTTTGCTACACCCAAAATCATATAATGCTGGTGGTGAAGTTCACAGAATAAACTTTTTACCTCATCACTTCTCCTCGCTCCTTCCCACAATCGACACGAGTGTGACGCTGCCAAGCACTACGACAGTGTGTGTAATACGGACAACCGCGACATCGATACGCGCCCTTTAAATGTTCGCGTACATTTTTAACCATTTCGCCGCATTCCACACATTTAGCTCTTGCTTTCTTGTTCCACATAACACGACCCTAAAAAAACACTTTCTCTGGGACCCACAAAGGATGCAAAATTTTAATTAACTAACATATATTCTTCGTTATCAGTAACAATCACTCCATAAAAAAGAAACCATATTTTTCATTAGTTGAACGCATGAAAACAAGTCACCACATATACTAAAAACGACGCAACATGTGTGTACAGTAAATTAGTACTTTCCAATTATTATTCCGCCACTTATAAAAACATTTGATTCAAACTAGACTTTCATCCAAGTTGAAATCTAAATCGATGCGTTCATTCTTATGAATAATTTACAGGAATGACGCACTAATTGCTTTCAGCTTTTAGTGAAGAAGTACATACAAAAAATCATACTAACGGTAAATAAAACAGCGACTACTGCCACAAATTTGAATTAGGAGTTTCACGTGCGGAACAAGTGGCCTTGCAATCACCATATCGAAAACAAAGGTAATGCAAAGTGCTGAATTGCATACACAGAGATAGTGTTGACTTGAAGAAGTTGACAGCCACGTCTAACTTGGCCAAAAAGTATGCTTTACAGTGTAGAAGGCGAAAATCAGAAGCAAAAGAGTTGTGGATTTGCGCAACTATCACAGCTCCAGTGTTCTTAAAATATCAAAACCAAATGATCATGCCTAACACCATTCTGCCGAAAACAGTAACATACGGATGCGAAACATCACTGACTAAGGCAGAACAGCGAGCGCTGAATGTGAAGGAAAGAACGATGGACGCTTGACACGCCACATCACTGCAATATAAATAAGTAGCGGCGCAAAGCAGGGCATGCGTTTAGCGCAGTTCCGTTCAGCGAACGTTTGCTCGCCAAGCATTTTCACTGCTTTGCACGTTGGTCCATGTAGAAACAGTTGAAATGTTGTTTGGTTCCTAAGTTGCGAAATCTCCCACTAAAAATTTCACGTACCAGTATGTGGAAGCCAAATTTGAACATCCTTCCAAAATTTCAAATTCCTAATTTTCTGGCATTCGAGTGATTTTCGTGCCAGAACTTTCATGCAGTTGCACGTGAGACCTCGGCATACTTGGGAACTAAATTTTAGTTTGTGAACCCCTGCACAGGTAGAAAACCTCCCCCTGTATTTTTCACCCTTCTAGATTTTTGGTTCCCGAGGTAACAATTTTTTTCGTCAAAAGTTTCACTGGGACGTAAAGACCGAGGTGTACGCAAGAGCTGAATTTGAATTTGCGAGGTCAAATGTGGGCAGGAAGCACTACCTTAAAATTTCAACTTCCTAGCTTTAGTGGTTCTTGACTTAATAATTTTCTCCGCCAGAACTTTCATGGGGTTGTACGTGGTACCCAGACGTAGAGGAAGGTTGAATTTAAATTTTTAGGGTCGTACCAGAATCCTTATGGGGCGGTACGTGGTACCAAGATGCGGGGGAAGACTGAAATTAACTTTGCCGGCTTGTATGTGGGCAGCAGACAATACCGCAGAATTCCAGCTTCCTGGCTTTTGTGGTCGCCGAGATAATTTTCCCATCAAAACTTTCACGGAGTCGTACGTGATACCCGGGGGCGGGGGAAGGCTGAAATTAAATTTGCGGGTAACACGCGGGCGGAAAACAATGCCGTAAATTCTCAGTTTATTATGCGTTTTTGCATAATATGCTAAAACACATACTGTGATGACCCTGGTGCGTGTGTGCGTCTGGCCGGGTATTTCAACCTGGTACCCAAGCAAGCTCCGGCGTCAAAATTTTGGGAGTGGATTCCCCGGCCAAGTGCCACAACAGGACCGCGGTACCAGCCCTCAAGCACGTAA